AAAAGCCTGACAATAAAAACTCCGTCCAAACACATCTGACGATGTTGTGAGATCTCGTTCCGTCGTAATATAGGGAGCCTACGTCACGTCCATCAACTTCCAGACCACGGGTCCCCGGAAGAACACAAAAATGTAAGTCAATGGGGCTAAAAACGCTATTTTCCAATCCGGTTTGTTATGGCGCATGGATTTCACATATGATGTCTGTGAATTGTAAAGACGCATTTTGATGCCAAGAAAGCGCTTAATTTCTAACTTGGGCTCCCTATAGGCGGTACAGACTGCTGCCACCTAGCTGTGAGAGTTTAAATTGCACCAAAGAAATACAGTAAATGTTTGCTTGTAAATTCTAAATAAAAAATGTATTGATTGCTTTTAAAGGTGCTTGATGTAAGGATGAAATAAGAATGGCATTGTTTGGTCAAATGTGGGTACTGCAGTCCATTCTTGTTCCATGTGTGTCATGGCTGCTGCTTGCTGTGGATCGGCAGCAGAAGACAGGCGATGAGTAGATAAATACGTAATGACGAGTTGAAATTGAAAAAAGTAGCTTGAGATATTTTTAGCTCTAATTGCTTCTAATTCACCGTTAGCATTGTTAGCTCAGCGTTAGCCTCTAGACTTCACAACCCAAAATTAGAGAAACAAAAAATCCCATGGCTGCTTAGGGTACAAGAAATAACTTCTGGTTTGCTAATTTTACTGGCTAACATCCACAGCGCCTGAGTTTTTTGTGAGCTGGTGTGAAATTACAAATGTTAGCGTGGCGGTGTTAGCTAGCACACGCCCGACAACCCCATGTGCTCACAGATCGTAAACAAAGATACGTCCCCGCCCCCCCGCCCAGCCAGCAGAGAAGCAAATCTGTTTCAATGTGACCTTCGTTCCAACATGGCTGACGCATTAGCAGTGATTGTGATTATTTCACTGTAGATGTATTACTGATCGTTTCAGTATCATAACACAAAACATCACAATATTTCCCTGTACCAATATTTTCTTACATCCTTACTAGCAACTTTAAACCTAACCAAAGTTTAACAATACGTTGGAATTATCACAGTTAACTAGACGATTACCAGGCCTCCAACCCTTTAACCTCCAAATTCATCACAGAACACTCAGCAAAAGCTTTAACACCCACCTACTTTCAATCAGCTCTAATCGTTGTCATTTCCATCATTCTCGACTACTTTTATACAAAGTTTCAGCCTTGGTTCTGTTCCTGGCCAAAATTACGTTTAACCCTTCTGTTGTGTTGGGGTCAAGTTTGACCCGTTTGCAACTTTAACTGTATAGAAAGTACATTTTCCTTTTTTGTCCTGGAATGAGGCTTCATCTAATCCTCAGACACACCTATTTAAATGCAGCAAAATCGTCGTCGTCTTCCTCCGCTTATCCGGGTCCGGGTGGCGGGGGCAGCATCCCAACTAGGGAGCTCCAGACCGTCCTCTCCCCGGCCACCTCCACCAGCTCCTCCGGCAGGACCCCAAGGCGTTCCCGGACCAGATTGGAGATGTAACCTCTCCAACGTGTCCTGGGTCGACCCGGGGGCCAGCAAAATCAGTTTTCACAATTTTAGTAAATTCTAAAGGTCTGGAAAAAAAAAGTTACATCTGTAGTGTTACGGGTCCAAAATGACCCCGCAGAGAAAACTGGCTGTTGAATGCATCACTTAAAAGCTGTGGGTTGCTCTGAGGATCAATTATGGCCCAGTGTGCACAGTTATGGCCCACATTACCAACACACACACACACACACACATGCACAGTTCAAGATACGGCTTATTTTTTTTTCCATTGTTTAGATTATGGTTAATTCAGAACAACATACCTGTGCTAACACCATATTATTTTCAATGTTCAGTTTATGGTCAGTGCAGGTGCATGTGCGCGCACACAATCACACACACAGTGTGTTTATTTTATGGTTCAATAGTTTGGTTATTTGGTCTGGTTAAATAAAAGTTGGTTTTATGGGAAAAATGTACTTGTGTCTTTATCCATGCGGGTCCGTTTTGACCCGAAACACCAAAGATGTCACTATTGTTAATAATTTTAAATATTAAAAAAAAAATACACATTTTTTGGTAGATGTACTGTAATATTAGTTTATAACACATTTATAGTTTATTATTACTCATTCTATAAGAAAAAGAAATATATTTAGTGAATTTAAACAGTTTTTGCATTCAAAAACGAGTGCTATGTTTTAAAATACTGTCAGTGGAGCCAACTAAAAAACTATTCACACACATTTATATGAACACATACTAAGCCAGCAATTAGCTGAAAAACAGCATTTGAAGAAAACTGGTGATTTTAGGCATTTTCAAGCATTTTTAAAATCATGGGTCCAAATGGACCCGCCAACACCACAGGTGTTATCAGCTTTCTAATGTAGTACAAGGGTTAACGCAGATCTCCCCTTATTCATAAGGACAACTGGATGTGCTGAGGCTTAGACGGTCAACACTAGATACACAGCTGCTGGTTGTCCTGCCTTTACATATTTACAAATACAGCAAAGATCTGCTGGTTGATCCATGACGGGTTTATAGCTAATGTCATGGAGGTGTGTATATGGGGCAGCCACAAATATACAAGAGTAGTTATTGTTAGCAGATGTAGGGGAACACGTCGGCACGTTTTGGAAGTGATTTGGTAGTCGGATTTTACAAAATAAAAAATACATGTACAAAATACAATGTTCCTGTTACAAAACAAGAATACAAGTACAAATTGAGAATTACAAGTTACGAATCCAAAGTTACAAGTTACGAATCCAAAGTTACAAGTTACGAATCCAAAGTTACAAGTTACGAATCCAAAGTTACAAGTTACGAATCCAAAGTTACAAGTTATGAATCCAAAGTTAAAAGTTACGAATCCAAAGTTACAAGTTACGAATCCAAAGTTACAAGTTACGAATCCAAAGTTACAGGTTACGAATCCAAAGTTACAAGTTACGAATCCAAAGTTACAAGTTACGAATCCAAAGTTACAAGTTACGAATCCAAAGTTACAAGTTATGAATCCAAAGTTAAAAGTTACGAATCCAAAGTTACAAGTTACGAATCCAAAGTTACAAGTTACGAATCCAAAGTTACAGGTTACGAATCCAAAGTTACAAGTTACGAATCCAAAGTTACAAGTTACGAATCCAAAGTTACAAGTTACGAATCCAAAGTTACAAGTTACGAATCCAAAGTTACAAGTTACGAATCCAAAGTTACAAGTTACGAATCCAAAGTTACAAGTTACGAATCCAAAGTTACATGTGATGAAACATGTTTGCAGTTACAAAACTTGGTACAAGTTACGCTGAATATTGTCCCAATCCTAGTTCCATAGTCGGAGCGTTTAGTTTGGGTCCACAGCCTGCAGCCCAAGGCTTGGCAGAGCTGTGTATTTGTCCTCAGCGCTGGTCTTTGTAGCAGGAGTCTGAGAGTACAGTGTAATTTTATGTTAATCCATAAATATCTCAAGAAATAAAAAGAACCTTCCCCTTTGTGTGTGGGAACGTGATCATCTCTAAAGACATGCAGAGCTTCTCTGCAGTTATCTAGATTTAATAAAGAAACCGTTTCCACCAGAGGTCTGGGACTTTGTGAGTCTTTGTAGTGTTTTTACCAAAGCTCGGCATATAAACACCCCAAACACTGGCTGGGGATTAAGACAGAACCTTCCTGGTTGTATTCATGGAGTGACTGTTCGAGAGCCAAGGGCTCATGAAGGGTTTATACTGCCTCTAGTGGACTTGTTGAGTGTAACGGCATTCCAGAGTCAAAGTTCGGGGTTTTCAGCCCCGACTTTCTGTGTTTCCATTCAGACGGAGCAGTCGCGTGTTCATTCCTTCACGCTGACGTCTCACTTCCTGTTTCTGTTTTGTTGTGTTGAATCGCCGAAGGAGCGACAGCCAGAGTGCTGCTGAGAGCTGGAGACGTGTTTAGTGCATTTTTAGAATATAAAGTGAAAACGAACCGTTGCTTTGAGCCACGTCTCAGTTTGATACTCTGTCATGCTGAATCTATAACTGGACCAACTAGAAGCGATCGATCAAACATTCGCTTACGTTTACATAGAGACGCCACCTCTGACACAAGTAAATGTCAGTGGTCTCCGATGGGGCAGTTAAAACGTCTGATGTGAGTAAATGTGGTGTGTTTAGATGCCCGCGCCTCTGTTAGCATGGCTGATTGGTGCTTCAGGCGTGTTAAGGGAATGCTTTTCCCACCGGTGGTGTTCATCACCCAACCTCCTCCTCTCACATTCGGGGGTTTATGAAAGTCTTGTGCAACAACAGGAGTTTGAGGAGTAGAACAGTGTTTATAAATCCTTTTCCTGTGGGCTAATTACACGTTTAAACAAGTAGAAACAAGTTTAAAGCTGCACTAAAACATAGCTGCGCATCCTAATTATCTCTCCTTTTCTTTTATGTGGCATTAATCTGTAAAATCAGTCAAAAGATGGAAGCGAAGCCTGCAGAGAGGGGTGAGGTGGAGGTGCAGGACCGTAGGAACATGCAGAAATGTGCACATAGATACGGGAGCGCCTGCACACTTGATTTATTTGACTCATTTTGATCCAAACAGTCATTAAATGGGCTTCCCCTTATTCATTTCTAAACAAATAAGTCCAAATATGAGTAATAGTCTTCCTTTTTATCCCCCTCATTCTCCGTCTCCTGGTTCATTCGGAGGATAATTAGCATTGTTGTTTTGTTGTAAACAGCCATTAAGAAATTAGATGTAATTAGTTTCAGCAGCCTACTTTCTCTGTGTTTGTTGACTGGACACTATTTGTTGTTTGAAGTTAAGATGGTGGAGTGTTTTGTCTGCACTCCTTTTGTGAAGTACGGGTGTGTAGATGTTGTGTGTTTTAGGGAAAGTCACACACTTACCGTCTCCGGTTGGTTTTTCTTCTTCTGTTGCCGACATGTTTATTATTTTCTGATTTAATGAGGATCCGAGTGACGGTTTCCCTCTCTTCTGTTTCCAGACCAACATCCCGTTCCTGCAGAACGTCCTGTCCAACAACCAGTTCCTGCACTCCACCGTGGACACCCAGTTTATTGACGAGAATCCAGAACTCTTCAACCTCAAGCCCACTCAGAACCGAGCTCAGAAGCTCCTGCACTACCTCGGTCCGTGTCTAAACCCTAGTTAGCTCTTTTCCTCTCAGATTTTATACTCCACGGCACAGTTTTCCTGCGGTTTGAGCTGCCAAACCCGCTCCCGTGTGCAGAGAAACGATGAAGGTTAAAAGCCGCACGAACATTTGGAACAAAATAACAGATTTTTATCTGCATCTGTGGTTCAGATAGGCGAGATGCATCGCCGTTCAACAACTAAAGCGATGGATTGTGTTAGATACAAGTAGACAAGGGAATTGTTTCTCATGCAGGAGAAGAATTCCAGTTCTCAGACGGAGAACGGTAGAAGTAAAATCCCTTCCAGCGAGCCTTAGGTGGGAAAAAAGATCCAACTTCTGTAGGGGAAGTCTAAAGGAGTCTCGCTGATGCTTTTATCTTAGTTTTTTATGTGCCTTTTGTTAAACTGTTCCTATATACTGGTGTGTCTAGGTCATGTGATGGTGAATGGACCAACCACGCCCATCCCAGTCAAGGCCAAGCCGTCCTCCATCGACCCAGCCGTCCCTTCCGTCACCATGGGTAGGTGCTCTCACAGAACAGTCACGAAACACCAGATTAAAGTCTAAATAAATGTCTGTTTAGGTCTAGTTGTTACGTTTAAACGTAGAAAAGGTCAAAACGCTGAACTGGGACACGGATACATCCAGGTGATCATTCCCAGTGGGTTTATTACGAGGTGGTGGCGGTGGCTCGGCGAGGGCCAGGGCTTGTTGTTTCCCCGACTAAACCTGTGGGCGCTGGTGAATCTGTAGGGCTGTTTGGATAAAAGCACCCACCCAATGACAAATGGGCTGTCGCGCAGCCCGATAGCTGCAGGCAGAAAGGCCTTGCTGAACGGCTGAGGCTGGCGCTCTGGGATGGAGGGGTTTTAGCCTGGAGTGCTCCGCTGAACTGTGATCACCGCTCGTCGTTTGTGCCGGCACGAGTCCTCCACTTCTCCCTCTCTGCTCTGCAGGAGCCTTTCTCTGCCTCGCATTTGTTTTCCTGTTTCGCTGTTTTAAAAAACCGCTGGAAAATGCATCAATTAAGCATCAAGTAGATGGATTTTCCTGTTTAGGTGGGTCATTGTGATGACGTCACAGCCCGTCGTGACGTTCATCGGTCGTCTCCTGCTGCTCGTTTCACACGCTGCTGCGTCGGTGTGACGTGTTCATCAGCACCTAGCTCTGCCTCGGCACATTACCCAGCATGCCCTGCAAACAGCACTTTACTGCAAAATAACGTGAATAATATGAATCGTAATCAATCGTGACTAATCGTATCTGACGTCTAAAACCATGCTCGGTGCAGATGGATCAGATCTGCATGTGTTTTTACTCATTCTGAGCACGCGGGCTCGTTTTTTTTAGACTTAAGCGATTGTTACCCGTCTCACTTGTTGCAGGTCTCCGACACACACGAGCATGCGGGGTGAACCGGCTCTCCGTGGACGCCGTGTGTGCACGCGCTCCGGTTCACCTACCGTAAGCAGCTGATGAGGTGGTTGTATGCAGCACAGAGGCATACCTAAAGACTAGTAATGAGATTTGTAATGTGCTTATGGCCTTTCTTTCATTCGACGGAGGGATTGGGCGAAGAGAGGGATTAGGCCTGTATTATCGCACTGTCTGGAGAGGCGTGGAACCAAGGCCTGGGTTTAATCCCAGCAGAAAGCTGGAGGTGACGGGCGGAGGGGAGAATTTGATCAGGGAAGTGAGGAATGCGTAGCCTTCACAGATGAAAGATGTTGTGTCTCAGAATAAAAGCAGATCAGCTGGGACGCTTCTGAAGAAATCTTCAAGGTTGTGAGCGCAGCTGCCATCCAGAGGTCACTTCATGCAACCCAACGGTAACCTGAGACACGCCGTTGTTCTGAAAACACACGGCCACATTTAGGCTGATAGCAGGTGCAGTGTGAACAAAGATCAACAGAGATGAAAATGCTGATGTCAGTGACTCATTAGGGTAACCGTGGTAACCACACACCTGTGTCCTCGAAGAGCAAAGTCGAAAATACTCAAACAAACCGTAACTTCTAAAAATCAAATGGAGGAAGTGTTCCTGAAGCATCTGGCTGTCCCATGTGTGCATTTTACACACATGCAGCATTTTTATTTTTTTATCAATCCATCACGTCAATAAGACCTCTCCAATCAGGAGATCTCCAATCTCAGCTTATTTTCAAAGAGAGGTCAGGAGGACTTCAGGGGTGCACGATCTCCTAGATTCACAACACGGCCTGTGTTTAGTACAGCATCTTCTAGAGTCCTAGAACCCCCCAAGACGCTTAACAGCACCAACAGTGATACACACACACACACACACACACACACATTCTCACCCCGGTGGTGATGAGCTCACTGACAGATGCAAGGCTTTCTAAGCACCGGCGCCATCGGTCCCTCCGGTCCTCTGCCAGTAAGCAAGGGGGGGTTAAGCGTCTTGCCCAAGGACACAACAGCAGCATCCTTTGGTCAGAGCCGGGACCGATCCAACAACCGATGTCGGTGCAGGATCGGCTCGGGGTCCTTCAACTGCCGATGATGTCACATGACTGCAAATCTACTCCGCTTTCACACACACGTTTTGGAAAGACATCAGCTGTTTTGTTAATAAAGTCTTGTTTGTTAACACCTAAATGTTTTCTTTATAGTTGTAATTTGTTAATAAAACACCATATTATCTTTGTTTAGTAAAGAATGTGAAACTGCATAAAACCAACATCGGACTGACACAAAACACAACAGTTCTTATATGTGAAGCCACATCTGTTAGTATTAACGTGGAGCTCGTCTGTATATTTCCTTCGTTGTTATCTAAATACATTCTTTGACTCAAAATGTTGCTTGGTGTCTTTCAATAAAGTTCTTATATTTTATTTTGCCCCGTTTCATCAACATCAAGAGCTTTTGAGGGTCACCGTTTATCATTTGCTTATATTTTACATTTCCTTTAGAAATTCAAACACATTTTCTCCAAAAAGTGTTGATTTTTGGACTACAGGACTACAACCGCTAAGACTACGACCGCAAATTTGTTCTGACCAATCACAATCATAGTGTGATAACGTCACTTCCGTACGCTTCATGTTCAGCCAATCAACTACTCTGACGTCATCGGCAGTCGAAGGACCCCGAGCCGATCCTGCACCGACACCGGCTCTCCCCCCTGAGCTACTGCTGATGCCGGCTCTAGTTGTGTCAGAACTTGGGGTGCCATGGTGAACGGCAGTATCACCTCGCAGGCTCTTTGTGTCTTGTTGTCACAGCTGATGTAAAAGTCGTGGACGCCTCTTCAAAGCTAACTTAGACAGACTCCAGTGAGACTGCTGCCATCTTGACAAGCTGTGATGTCACATTTACATATAGATGTAGATCTCTGGCCTCCCTTAGTAAAACTATAAATTACATTATCTGTTCAGTCAAATATTCTGTGACTCAGTAAAACTTGACATGAGCTGAAAAAAACAGCTGTTTTAATAACCATCGCGGGTAAAGGGAGCTCCATGAACCATGCCATGGCACCACTGGTTACCAGAACCTGCTCTCACTCGCTGGTGAAGAGCCGTTAGGAGAAAGAGCAGATCCGGTTCTGCTCCCTAATTAGGAAGTGTAATCTGGAATATTCCCTCTGAAGGCTGGTTACTGGTGACTCATGCATAGTTTAGAGTTGCACCTTGTTCCAATTATTGTCCGCATTTATTTAATGGAGGACATCTAGAGGTTAACCACCAGATGCCTCTGAGCCAGCTCCAGGAAAAATGACACTACATCTCCTAAATGTGCGCTGCTTCTCCATGTCTAGGATGAGTTGTGGTTGAGCGCTGTGTCGTTCTACGAGGAAAGACCAGTGGAGTTAATGCCTCAGCGTTCCGTCTGGCTTCCTCTTTGTAGTTTTGAGGTTTATTTGTACAATTTAAGCCCAGGCAAACTTTAAAGCGTGTTTCTGAAACCTGAAGCTACTTAAAGAAAACCCAGTTTATCGGCTGTGTGGAGAAGATGAGCATGCCATACCGTACCACCTTTATTTATATAGCACTTTAAAAACACAGCCATACGGCTGACCAAAGTGCTGAACAGTCGCACAATAATAGAGATAAAAAACATAAAACAGTACTATAAAATACAGCCAACAAAAAAAAACTAGCCGACAAAAAAAGTACCAATGAAACAATGAAACCTTACAATGGACGATAAAATAAGAGTAGTAAAAGCCAAACTAACAGCTAACTGTTAAATGCAAGGGTAAAATAGTGGGTCTTTAGTCTAGACTTAAAAGCTGCCAAGGAGGATGCCAGTCCAACTGTGACTGGAAGTTCGTTCCACAGTTTAGGACCCGCGACAGAGAAAGCTCTTTGTCCGCATGATTTGTAACACGCTTTCGGGACCTCGAGGAGCAACAGGCTGGAGGACCTGCATGTGCGACCGGGAGTATAAATTGAAAGAAGGTCAGATGCGTACACGGGGACAAGACCGTGGAGGGATTTGAAAACAAAAAGTAGCATTTTATATTGGACCCTGAAAGTGATGGGGCAGCAGTAGCTCAACAGGTTGAGCGGGTTGTCCAGTAATCGGAAGGTTGCAGGTTCGATCCCGGCTCCGGACAGAGAATTCTGCTGTTGTGTCCTTGGGCAAGACACTTAACCCAACTTGCCCGCTGGTGGTGGTCGGAGGGTCCGGTGGCGCCTGTGCTCGGCAGCCTCGCCTCTCATCTCCACCAGTGTATGAATGTGTGTGTGAATGGATGAATGATACAATGTAATGTAAAGCGCTTTGGAGTCCTTACTCTGAGAGGCGCTATACAAGTGCGGGTCATTTATCATGATGGGCAACCAATGAAAGGATTTTGGAACTGGTGTTATATGCTGGTGCCTGTCAGTACGCGTTAGGAATCTAGCAGCTGCGTTTTGAACGAGTTGAAGTCGGGCAAGGGTTGACTTATTGACACCCAGCAAAACTACGTTTGAGTAGTCGAGCCTAGATGTGATGAGGGCATGAACAACTCATTCCAGAGTTTTTCTAGATAAAACAGCTCTTAATTTGGACAGATGGCGGAGTTGGAAAAAAAACGAGATTTTACAGTGGCATTGACCTGGGCGTCCATCCTTAGAGATGAATCCATCTTCACACCCAGGTTTGTCACAACGGTTTTTAGATTTTGAGAAACAGATGAAAGATCTGGGGTTTGGAAAGAGCTAGATCTGACCGGATGAACCAGGATCAGTTCAGTCTTGGAATCATTGAGATGCAGAAAATTTGTCGCCAGCCAACATTTCACATCACGTAAGCAGTCTTGAAGAGGCTGGATGGATTGCTGGGGTTTCACCGACATGTAAATCTGACAGTCGTCAGCATATAAGTGATATTGAACAGTGTTTTTTAGGATTAAGCTGAGGGGAAGGAGGTAAAGACAAAACAACAAAGGCCCCAGAATAGATCCCTGCGGGACCCCACACGAGAGAGGAGCAGAGCGAGATGAGATGCTGTTCAACAGCATGTGTGCCTGTGAGCGGGTGTTTGGGATGCGGGGCTGGGAGCGGG